ATTTTTGAGAAATCGCGTTTGGTGTGAAATTTAAGGGGGTCGATTTTTCATAAAAATCGACTTTTTTCTTTTATATCACATAAACATTGGCATGTACACCACAGGCCATAAGTTTGGATACCCCTATGAATGAATATGGCCCAAAATTTTTAAATTTCAAACCGCTTGTCCAATTTCAACATGCTATACGTCGTTGGAAAGGTCTCGGAGAGTACGTATCATTTTTGGTATTAAACATCAAAATCGGCCAGCTTTTGGCCAAGATATGGTTGATTGAAGATTTCGGCCAAAAATTACAAACGGCCATATCTTGGCCAAACGCCGGCCGATTTTGATGTTTAATACCAAAAATCACATCTACTTTTCAAGACCTTTCCAATGGCGTATATAACTTTTTAATCCGATGGCCCGTTTTAGACTTCGATTTTGGCTCCCACAGGTCAAAGGCCAAAAGATGGCCATAGGCCGACCAAATTTTATCTTCCAAATCATCCATTCGGTCAGAATTTCGATATATTTTCATATCCAATACTAAATTTCAAGTGAAAATGTTCAAAAAACGTAGAAACAAACGTTTCATAGGGGTATCCAAACTTATGGCCTGTGGTGTATGTATGGAACTTTTTGAAGTTATTCTCAAATAATTACGAGCTGACTTTGCCCGATGGGCGTCTGAGTTGATCTAGTGTGCGATAAATACTTGAAAAAATCGTATACAGTAGAATCTCGGAAAAGTTAATTGTCCAGATAAGTTAAGCGACGTTGAGCTCCCATTGAACGCCTTAAAAAGTTAATTATTTGCTTAACTTTTTAGAGCGTGTGTACATTTTACACGCGATTCAGTAGTTTTGCAATGCAAACCAACAATACAAAACGAAGAAAATATGTCGTGCGTTGATCGGCGTTTCAGGTAAGTGCCTGTTCGCTGTGTATTTGTGTTCTACTAATCCTTTCTTTTTATAAATGTATTGACAAACAATGCTGATCCTTTCTTTTTATAAATGTATTGACAAACAATGCTGATCCTTTCTTTTTATAAATGTATTGACAAACAATAACAGCTGACAGTAGCCTTTGTTGTGTACGAGTTAGCCGGTATAAACAATAGACTCAGTGAGTTGCATTCGCTCTACGTAGCTCTTATTCGTTTTGTCGATTGAAATGTTGAAAAAAGTGAATAAACCAGTAAAAGCCAGATTAAATTTTGAGCAAAATGATGAAATTTTGAAAAAAACCGACGGTGGTATTCACGGAGAACGATTGGCTCCAGAATATGGTGTATCTGAAGCAGCCATATCGAAAATTAAGAAGAAACGGATTGAAATTCTCGATTTTTATTGACACTTATTTTTACTTTTTGATTTAAACTGATGAAAATGTGCCAATATAATAAAATTTGAACCAAATATCGTTGAACCATGCAATTTGTATCAATTTTGAAAAATGTCCAGAAAAGTTATTAATTCAGAAAAGTTAATCACCTCTGGAACATTTTGATTAATTTTTCCGAGATTCTACTGTACATGCAGGCTAGTGAAGCCATAGCCAGCGCTCCTGTTATGCAAATGTCAATCTGAGGACGGGTTTCGATGTGGTCCGACACCAGCTACAGCTTAGGCATATCGGCACCGGAATCTGTGGGGGTCAAAAAAGTTTCCGGACACACGGACGCACATCCAAATCAATACTTTCATAGAAAACCATGGTCAAACTGCCAATGCCCATAACTTTTTCGTTTTTGGACCAATCGGAGCGCTTGAAACGGCGTTGGAAAGGTGGCGAGGTGGAGCTTTTCTTGGATACTACCCCCTGGGTACCCCTTTTGTGGGATTATCGAAATTTTCCAACCACTATATTTTTGTCTAGACCATACTTTAGGCATGGGGGATATGGTGTTTCCGACCATTTGGGCCAAGACCTTTCCAACGGTTCCTAACATGCCGGGGCCCAAATAGTGCCATGAGAAAATAGCATACTTACTGTATAGGGGAAGAGGGGTAAAGTGGGACAGGGGGTAATCTGGGACACCCCCTTTTTTTGCGATGGGCAACACCAAACATCAAAACGATAATAAACGCAAATGTGCATTAGTGTGGCGATCATTTGACGTGCACAGACTCTCTTCTCAGTCTGATACACGCTGCGCCAGAGCACGGTTTGTGTTTTTGCCACTTCAAGCAACAATTTTTTCTCTCCATAGAAACGTGAATATCTCATTCATTTTTGAGCGTACATGAATTGATGGCAAGTATAATTTGTAGCTAAAGTCGAGTGCTTTCACGTAATAATAAGTAATTTTAATTATTTCTGGCTATTGAAATTTTTTTCATATGTGGCGTGAAATTTGGTAACTGGGGGTAAAGTGGGACAGTTTATTTTTGCATTTTATGCATTTCATGCCATATCTAAGGCATACAAATAGTGTTTATCTTTAAATTTAATGACGATTTTGAATGTTTGTTGTAGTTTTATAGGTACATATCTATAAATTTGTACCAAAAAGACGTCATTAGAAGAATCGACGTTGAAATCGGGTGAAACAGCAATGTCCAGTGAACCAAAATTATGATTATTACAGCTAGGTGGTATCAAATATTACCGGAATACCGAGAGACTATCGCGACTCTAATAAGATACTGCGCATCGTCATTTCTTTATTTTTCCAAAAACCGGTAATGCATTTTTTCCCTTCATTCAGTATAATGCCATTGCTTCCTACTTTTCGAAATAAATTGCCAGTGAAAGTAGATAAAAACAGTCGGAAATTGTTTGAAATAGATGAATTTTTCGAATTATACATGAAATACCAACAAATATTGAGATATTTTGCTGAAAAACATACAAAATGGTGGCTGTCCCAGATTACCCGCAAGGGTAAGCCCTTCGGAAAATTGGCGCCCCATCCACCCCAGACGGGGCAGAAAAAAATGAAGTTTGCCAAAAGTTACCTTTAAACAATACCTTTTCTACGGTATATAAATTTTTTCAATTTCCTTCAATAGCACCCGAGTTCCGCCTATTTGAAAAAAAGTGTCCCAGATTACGCCCATCTCCCCTATATACTCGTGACGCAAAAACTGGCATTTATGATATTTGGCCTGAAATGCACAGTTGTTGGAGCGTCACTTGTCGGACTATCGTCCTCCGTGATGTTGAACAAAGGACTTCTCACATCGGAAGAATTCGAAGATATTATGCTTTCTTTATCGGCAAAGGAGTGCGAAGCGAAAATATTCAATCACAATCCTCGATGCTTCACATTTAATGAAAATAACATTTTTGTGTGACAACGACAAGCTGTGAATACACTAACAACCCTCACGGGCTCAGAAGTCGTTTGGTTCACGTCAAATCAAACAGTATTATTGGGAGAAATGTACTCTGCTCCGACAGTCAATATGCATTGTATCAATCAACAGAACGATGCTGTGAACGTAACAATTGCAGAAATCAACAGCGATTTCTCGAAGAAGGTTTTGTACGAGGGCTCATCAAAAACTAAGGATATAGATAGATTGAAAGTGTCTTTATTGCAACCGATTACGATCAAACCACATGTTATGTATGAAATTCGTTTTGCAGTGCTCATGGGAGTTGGAAATTCGTATTACAAAGCAACGTGGAAACCAACAGTTGAAGTAGAAGATGGTCTGACATTCCAATTTCATCGATGCCCATCTCATACAAGCTATGACACTTCTACATCTGGTTGGATTCAGTCTTTAGGCGTCAACAGGCTATAACATGATATTGTTTGAACATGAAAAAACAAACACGACATCCAATTCCATGTAAAATCAAAATAAAATTCATTTCTTTGCTTAATTAAAATAAAATGGTAAATTTGTTGAGAATTTTGGCCTATTACATGCAAATATCTATATATCTTTCTATATATCCACATTTTTTGCTTGAATTTTCGTCAAGGTGTCTTTGCAGATAATATGGACTTGTTTTTAGTGGAAAAAATCTCTAATTTGTAGGGAAATTTCGAGTTTTGGACCAATTTTTAAGCGTTTGGTGGACATTTGGCCAAAAGAAGTCATGTGTTTACTGTGTTTACTTTGATTTGAGCAAAAAATACACGATTTTATAAAATGAAAATCTGAGCCAAGTTGACAAAACGAATGATGCAGAATTTCTAGTTTTGGTAAGTACTTTCAGCAGCGATACTCAAAACTTATGCCCGCAATTATGTGTTGCACTGTGTTATGAAAAACAGTTCATCCCAATGAATTCAGTACCAGTTTAAGCAATAAAATTCTTTCTTTTTGCGAAACAATAAAGTCAATTTTGGACCCAACACAAAAACTGAGGATGTTTTCCAACTTTATTTAGTTATGCGAAATAATTTCTAAGAAAAACAAAAAAAAATCACAAAAATTCCATGAACGTAGTGAACATTTCTCGCCTATTTCATAAGTCAAGTATTCTAGTGAATATGTTGTAAGTATCCATGACAGTGGATAGCTGATTTCAGAATTTTTAGCCGTCTATTGACTAACTTAAACCAAATAACTTGAGTTATTACAAACGTAAATAACTACTTTGTTCCAGATAATCATTTTGAAAAATGCCAGGACAAACGAAAAAAAAAAAATTCGTGGAAAATTTTAAAAATCGAAAAAAATCCAAGGAATAGGTAAATTCCTGAAGGCTTTTGGGTCAGATCATCATTAATTGTCCCAATTCATTCCATTTTATCAATAAATCCCCCAAAAAATGCAAGAAAACGAAAAAAAATTAAAGTTCAGACTTTAATTAAAGTCCGGACTTTAACGGAAAATCTCAAAGAAAAAACAAAAAAATAATGAAACCTTCGGATGTTTTGATGCAAAACATCATTATTGGGCCCAACAATTTTCATGCCAACGAAACATTTCAATATTATCCACTAACAAAAATTTTGTCTTTGGACTTTAATTAAAGTCTGAGCACTTTGAATCAGCATAAACAACTGCCTGTTGGTATTGTTTTATTTTGAAAGAAAAGATTTTGGATTGTTATTTGCATAGATACCTTTATTAAAATATGGTTATATCTAATTTTAACAATTTTGATCGTTTGTTCTATGATATACAATACATGTGTAAATGATAAATAACTGTTAAAATTGATTGAAAATAAGTACCCTTCTCTGATGTTATTCATGTTTGATTGTTTGAAGAAGCAAAAAAAAACTAAAGTCATCCGATTTACTGTTGTTATCATTGTCAATGCTCGATAAATTGATTCAGAAAAAACGAAGAATGGAGCCTGAATGGATTGTCATGAAAGAGAATAAGCCAAGTAAGCCAAGAAGAAAGCTGTTAAAAACAGTAAAAGTTATTTGATAGATTTGGCTTAAGATTTGTGATTGGTCTTTTGTATTTCTGTCGGCGGGAGCGATCTCATCGTAAATACTATATAAATTCATGGTTTTTTTTTCTTTAAAATTGGTTTTCAAATTAGACTGGAAGTTGGGTTAATTTTATACGATAAAATGTGTTGTAAATATTTATGGTCAAATAAAATGATGGCCAATTGAGCGGTGTAAGTATTTAAGATGCATTTTAGTATATTCGAATTTGGAAAGAATTTCAAATAGGTTTACGATGATATATCCAGTGGCGTATCCAGGGGGAGATTTGGAGGTTCAACCCCCCCCCCCCCCCCCGAAATCTGGAAAGGGAAAAAATATTATAGATTGAAGAAAAATTGCATTCAAGGTTACAAGTTATCAAGAAAATTTCCGCTCGCTTCGCGCGCGGCCCGTTAACAACTTTCGCAAAATATATTATTGTGGCTCCATTTGCCTTAAGGATTCATAAAATTTTGATTACATTTTATACATAAAGTTTATGTTTAACCGTTTTTTTTGTAAAAGTAGTTCGATATTCGCAAATCATTGGTGAGATTTTTTACGAACACTTAATATATATCTATTTGTTCACACCGTCAAGTACTGGCCGAATATGTTTTGAGAACGCACAAAACCCCTGCATTAATGATCTCTTCAAATCTTTAGCAGATATTGGCTCTCAAAGCGTTTTCCAACTCTGGAAAAGAAAATTTCGCCTTCCCCTTGAAAATTAGATCAATCGAAAAGTCCCCCTGAAATTCATCTCTGGATACGTCGCTGGATATATCATTGGTATTTTGTAAACGAAATGTATTAATTCGACCCAAAGATTGTGGCAACCAAGGGTAGATCATTTGAATATCTGGTACTTTCTGTTACGATACATTGAAATTATATAAAATATTTTTTAAAAAATTGTCTTCTCTTTTTTCAAAAAAGGCAAAAGGACTATCCATACATAAGCTTAATAACAAAAATTTGGAAATGAAAAAAAGAGTCTAATGAAACATTGTTCCGTTTCAATTTATACATCACATCCAATGAGATTTGCATTTGTAACATTTCATAAATTTGTCTAAATTCATTTAAACATTTTTGTTTAAATATATTTCTTTCATTACATTACACGGTAAATAAATATATGTAGTAGCCTTGTAGCCCTAATTCACACAAAAATATATGTTCAGTTATTTTTGTACTCTTTTTTTTGTTGTGGTGAATCGATCATTTTTGTCCTCTCTTGAATTTACTAGAATTTGTGTAGCTTCGAACTTTGAGCAACAGAAAATTGTATCCTAGACACTCGAAATCGTTTCCATGGAGGCAGTCATTGAAAACGAAATGGGTTGTGAAACGACGCAGTCTTTGTTGACGATGCAGATGAAGTTGAATGATTTGCCAATATTTCAAAGGACATTTTGTCGACATAGTATTCATTGTACGACTCGGCCATTGTCCATCACCACCACCACAAAAAATTGTGGGAATCATCGAATATAGTTGGCGAATGATACGTCAAGAAAACGGTTCATTTCAAAGGAGAACAACATTTTCTAGTCTTCATTACCCAATGCCACACATACAACTAGGATTTACCCTAAGGGTTTGACTCTAAATAGTTATAGCTTTTATCTAAATGTTTGTTTTTTTCTGGTTTGTTTGTTTGTTTTTGGCTAAAAATGTAAGCGGGATCACGAATTGCTCGGAACGGAAATTGGTTCCAAATTCGATTCTAATTCTTGCAAAGTATGTAACATACCCTTCCTTCGAGATTTGTGATGATAATATTTTATGAGTTCAAAGTTTATTTAAAATTTGTATAAAGCGATACGTTTTTTGATTTGAAATTAGGATAGCATTGTCCTGACGGAGAAACCGCAGCGAAAATAAAAAGTTCTATAATCCGTTTTTGGTTTTGGCGTTTCTCGTTTGTGATATCCGCTCTCTCTGTGTCTTCCTCTTTCTCTCCGATGACATATGTCCGGTAAATATGTACTGTGTATTTGGTTTTCCAAAGGAAAATGTTTGAAAGCTTTTTGATTTGTTTGCCAACAAAAATCCTTGGCACAGGTATACAAGTCACTACTTGCTAGTTGTTTGATATGAATCCGAAAAATAAATGCAACTTATTGGAACTGGTTCTCTTGATATATCGCTTAAATTGGATAATTTTTTAAGTATTTAAATGTGGTCCAGTTATTCGTATGCAACATTTGTAGTGCATATTTCCGGCAATTTCACTTGCTTTGTCCTACATAAAGAGCAAGCTATCACGACACAGTTTAGTTCATAGTCAAACAATCGAGTATATTTTCAACGGTTTATATTCATCGATGGACTAGCCATGACTAATCCTTAGGACAGGCTATACAGCTTGTATTAAAATCCAAATTGAATATTAGCTATAAGTTCTTGTTCAGTTTTTACACTTAATTGTAATCTATTGACCTACACTGTGTGATGTCAATTTGCTCCGTCTTGATTCTATAAATGATTCAGTATCTTAGTTGAGTGATGAATGAGAGTTATACCTCTGGCCTTTACCAGAGAAGAAATACATCTGATAGATTGATACGTCGATGTTTTGGGTATGTGTGTGTTCCGTTTCATTGGTCAAAGAATTCTGTACAAGAATGGTCAAAAATGTTTAGTTGTTCTGTGAGTTTTCATTGATTTTGTTCAAATATTGACGCCAAATGTTCACATCATTCGCTATCATTTTTAAGATCCATAATTTTTGCAATAGTCCAGCACGATATTTGATTTGCAATCACCCGTAAGGCTTGGCACCAGAAGCGAAGCTGAACCAAGAATTGTGACAATTGTACCAAACGCAACCAAACCAACCGCCGGCAATTTCTCGCGGCTAAACAACGAATGTGATTCCATTTGGATGTAAGCAAGGCCTGGGAGCACATAAGCCAACGGTATCGCTGCCAAAAGTCCCTGAAGGCACATAAACGACATATAAAATGAATTTTCGTTAAACAGTAACAGCGCACTGGATGTCTTTAAATAACTTACATTAAGCTCCAGCACGGGCCCTAAGCACTCCGTCATTGGTGAGATGAGAAAAGCTGTCAAAACAATGGCCAATGTTATTCGGGTGGATAGCACATCATTGTCTTCGCCCAATGCGTGTGTTGGGTCGGAATCCTTTTCATACGAATCGACTGGAGTTGACGACTGATATCGATGGATCTGATTTTTTACAATCTAAATGACACAAAGAACGGCAACTTTTATCGCCATCAAACATTTAAGATGCAAAAATATACACAAATTGTACACGTTGTACATACCTCACGCGAAACGAAGCATTCAATGGGGAATGTTAGCAGAATCGACACCGAAAATAGTACACGAGCAAAATTCATCAAATCATCATCCCAGCAATAGTTTTCCAACAAATCACCTACATCATACGCATACAAAAAAACCACATAACATAAACTAATTAAATTCGAGTTAAAATGTAAGCGATACCGATCTGAAAATAGCATCTCATTTGGTTTTATGGCTTCATTTGATTTCCAGCCATAAACGTTAAGTAACTCAATATGCTGCATTTTTAAAAGGACAAAAAAAAATACACAGTTTTATTCCGAGACAAACGTTGATAGCCGTTGAAAGCCGTCGAAAACCGTTAAACAAGGAGATAAAACACAGCGGAAAATTCCGCTAAAAAGGTTCGGTGGAAGCGCATGTGAGAAGGAAAAACAAGCATATCAGTTAATTATTCACCTTGTGATAAAGCTTTAAATGTTGCGTAACCAGTGATGCCAAACAATGCAGCTACAGCCCATGCAAACGCAATCGAGATATGTGTCACTTTTTCCCATCGTTCTAGGGTGGCTCCCCGTATAGACTGATACACCAGAAATGTATTGTGATGGCACATGAATGCTGCAGTAAAACACGCAAAAATACACAGTAAAGCTTACTTTATTTATTATGCATGGTTTTATTGAGTGTTGCGAAAGGTGGGCGGTGACGCAGAAGAGAAAAAACAACAAAACATTAAAGCAACAAACAAAGATTGCGAACTTTTTCTCTTCGCTTGCCTTTGTTTCAGCAGAATTTCGTTGTTGGTTTGCAGTTCTGTTGCCAAGTCAATTCAACGTTTGAACAAAAAAAAGAAGGCAAAAAAAACAACAAAATACAACGAACGAGAGAATACATTTGTTACTTACCAAAAGCCATAAGACCAATTGCTGGAATCACATCTATGTTTGCAAATCTCCAAGAACTATCCACGCTTGGGCTAAGTCAACACACAGTGAGAAACATTTTCGATTATAAACAAATAATGAAACCCCCCACCCAGAAATAAAAACACGCCATGAATATATTTAGTTTCAGAATGAATGGGTGAATGAAACAACCAACTTGAAATATGTTAACTGATGTTTTAACCAAAAGAGCGGAAAAAAATAATGAAAACAAACATAATTGCGCCAAAAATAATAAAAAATGGTTACGAGAGTGAGAGACACAGCAAAAGAGGGGGAGGAGTGGGGGGTAGATAAGAAATTGCTGTTTATTCATGTTGTTGTTGAAGGGGTGTTGTGTGTGTAAGAGCGAGCGAGCGAGCGAGTAAGTGAATTGATAAACGTAAAAACGGTTGACTTGAAAAAGCGCTCATGAAGCATTTAAAAACGGAAAAATGTGTATGGTGAGACGTGAGTGTATGATCTAAGTGGACATGCACATAAAACATTGGATTTTACTTCATTGACATTTTCACTATTTCATTGAGTGCGAACGGGTTTGTGAGTGCTTGATTGATACACTGGCTGGATCGGTGCACATTTTATATTGAATCAAATTGCAGTAAATAGATAGCAGGATAGATAGCAGTTGTCTCATAAAAAACTCAAAGGACTGACCTTTTTTTTATTCATATCAACATCAAGCGAAAAAAATTTAACCTTGAAATAAGTTCAAGGGTTAATAGACAACTTATATTTGAGAATGGGATGCTGAATTAAGCCGATGGTGTGAACGACATTTGGTTATCTAAAAACGATAAATTGCTTGCGAATCAATAACAATGGATAAATGCTGCGTTAGCAAACAGAATTATTGAGAATGCGCTCACATGTCAATGGCTGGCAAAAAATTGTGAATTCGATCTGAAAGTGAAAGCCGAACTCTTCGATTGCTGTTCAAAATCGATATCGAATATTATATCTCCTATATTTGCTTGAAAGTGTGCCACTTTTAACGAGACACACAGAAAGGGAGAGAGAGAGAAACGAAAAGATCAAGCACCTGGTTGAAATGGTTTTCATGAATGAAAAAATGTCCAAATAATTTTCGGTTTTAAGAGCGTTTTGCATCAAATTAACCCGATCTGTAGAAAAATAACTTTTTTATCACTTTCAGTTGCCATAAAATTGAAAAAAGAAGAATTTAATGTAAATTGTGTGTGTGTGTGTGTGTGTTTGTGTGACCAACAGAAAAATTATTTATAAATATAAATCTAAAAGCTCGTAAATAAAATGTTTCTGAGTAATAAAGACGCGAAAAAGAGAGCGAGAGGAAAGTGAGACGAAAAATAAACTTACACAACGTCATAGTCTCCAGAGATAAATTTTAGAATAACAGCAAATAGAATGAAAACAACACAGGCCAACGATAAAAACGATGCTCTTGCCAAACGAGATACATTCTTATACAGACAAAGTGGTATGACAACACAAACGGTTACGACAAAAACAACTAAAAATCGTACGGTGCCCATTGATCCAATATCCCACGCCGGTAGAAAGCGGATCAACACTTTTGACAATGTATCACCGACCACCACATTGTACGATATCATTGCTGCAAAGAGATGGAGAGAGACAGAGAGAAATACAGAGAGATAGAGAGACAAAGAGGGAGAAAAAGAAAAAAAAGGGAGCATATAACTGAAGAATGTGATACGATACACGAACGTTAAGTCATTTAATTCCCACATACGGGTCCACATAGTAAAGCAACAACAACAAAAAAGAGTAGTATGTTTGAACAACGGTTTGCGCAGCAAATTATCAATTCATAAAACAATATTGCACAATAAAGCTGCTTTACGCTCGTCGAGTTACGCACTGAGCTCCAATATCGTTGTGGCGGCAAATGTGTGTGTGTGTGTGTGTGTGCTGCTGCTCGCTGTTGTGAACTTCATGCCGTGTGCTTTGGGGGGATACATACGTTGGCATAGAGAGTCGTGGATTTTTCTTATTTCTACAAAACGACACTCTTGTATAACGTCTGTACTATTACTGCTGCCTTTTCGGTTGTTGTTGTTATTGTTGTGCCCCGACTTATTCATGTCTCATGCCTCAGAACAGCGTCACGCACGCGATACAGAATTGTACGGGTAATGTGTGGCTGCAAGCATCAACCACGAATCGAAAACATCACCATAAAAGTTGAGTTGATGACACTTATAAGCATTTCATATATACATAAGAATAAGAGCCGTCACTTCAGACAATAAATACGCACTTCAAGTGGTATTCAACAATTCAGATGAATATGAAGAGAGAAAGAATTACACTTGCTTGCGGTTTCCAGAAAGCAGCGAAAAAAAACTGGATAAAGAGCGAACAAGTTATTATACCACTTGAAAAGTTTTCAAATGAAATCATTTGATATTGAGCACTTCATTCTTTTATTTCAACTTTTCTTTGCTTTCTGTTTCCATTCGTCAATGTTATCCATGTTGTCTGTGGCATTGACTTTGTTATCTGCCCCAAGTTAAACATTGATCAAAAGTTGACTTCCAGGTAATGTATTTTGCGATTGAAAGAGCTTTTCCGCTTTTTTCTTTCTTTCTTTTTTCTTGTTTTGGGAAAATGTGACATGTCTTTGGGCGATGTCATTTTTTGTTCTGGCAAATAAATTGGAATTTCCGCATGTGGGAACAGTTATAGACAGAAAAAAATGACATCGAATAGATATGATACGATAAAACAAAACCGACAAGAGAAAAAAATGACGAATATAACAAGCTTTGATGGAGGGTTGGCGGTTGAGAATTAACTATGGGCGACAATGGAATGTGAACAATTTTTAATTCATATTCACTTTGAACATGCTTAAATCGCCTTGCGAACAAGAGAGAGAGAGAGAGAGAGAGAGGGAGAGCTAACGAGGATGAAAGGTATTTGATCACATTTTCCAATGGCAGAACGTGTTCCCTTTAAATTTCATGGCCATACTCTACACTATATTGGAAACTATCTACAACTATGTATATATCTATGTGTTTCGGCATATATATTGTCACGCTGCACGTGCACCTTCTTCACGCTTGAATTGATCAATATATTGGTAGCAAACGGCGACCTGGATTATATCTTATAAAATGGGATAACCAAGGAAATTTCATTCGCATTTGGAATTTATACGCCGTTGCACAAATAAAAACAAACTAAATTGAAGTGCAGTGCACACAGCGGGATAGAGATCGAAGGGGAGGTGAGAGTAGAAGGAAGCGAAAAAAAGAGCGAGCGCAAGTAGTGAGAGTGACGGGGAGTGCGAGTACTTGACACATGAAAATCGGAAGAAAGTAAAACATTTCATACAATCTGAGAGTTGCTTGAAAACCACACACATACGCACACACACACCACAAAGTGCAAGCAATTTATAATGTAAGCACATTCTACCGCAGGTGCACACAATAGCCGTTTTTATTGTGGATCAACGATGATAGCACACTTCTTACCTAACATTGGATACATAAATTGTAATACGGACAACAAATAGTATCCCCACTTTCCATACGCTGCAAATAGACAAAAAAACAGAGAAAAAAAGGGTTAGACAGAGACAGAGAGAGAGAGAGAGAGAGAGAGAGAGAGAGAGAGAGAAAAAAAAATCATGAATTATCATTTGCCACAGAGATAATAATTTTATAATTTGTTAAATGTCGGCGTGCGCTTAATATCTCGAATGCGAGTATAGAGAGAGTAGATTTTACCTGCTTCCATAATGCCGGGATAACTGAAGCGCCCACTTATGTGCCCACATCGCACCTTTTAAACACAAAGAAATGAAGATAATTATTTATTGCTCGTTTTTTATTCATTTACAATCTTCTGCAAAGCACTTGTAAAACTTTGATTATCATGTAAAAAGGTCATATGGTATCCAAAGGAGAATCAAGACAAAACCGAACAGAAAGAAAGAAAATACCATTAATATCAGCGAGTAGTCAGTGATTACGGCAACCACCATCAATAATAGAAGACCCAATCCGAAGCCAGCGCGATGTAACGCGTATGGAATGCCAATTATTCCCGATCCAACTATCGAATTTATGTAGTTGAATAATGCTTGCGGCAACGATGATAAACTGTCCGTTTTCTCAGTCGTCCCTTCCTGTTCGTGTCCCGGAGAATACATAAATTTACGCCGAACGAAGATATACAACAAACACACATACGAAAAAAAACGGAAAATCAAATCAAAACAATGTAACCATCAAGAATGATAGGAAAAGCTCGACAAAATCTTGTTTTCTCTCTCACTCCATCTTATTCACATTTTTATGACGACTCGCACACGAGAATGGACAATTTAAGTTTTCTTCTTGAAACTTTAGTTTTGTTTTAATTTATATCGTATTCGCGTGTGGCGAACACACCAAGAACAATCGAATGCACTTCACCGTTGTACAAAAGTTTTGACAGTAAAAAAGCATAAAAACCAAAGTACATACCCACCCACAGCCACACACATGAGGGGTCCAAATTAAAGTGCTCAAATCAGGAAGATGTAAGAAAAAGATTCGCTTTCTCCCAGTGTGATAGTCATTGTTGTGAGACTGAAACTGAAGACGTGTTGCTGCCATGCATTTCCGAAATGAAAAATTGCCATTCGGTATGTGATTGTTGTGGCTTTTTATTTTGTTCACTTCTTTTGACTGTGCATTTTCCTTGCTTTTGCGTTCGAAAAATCATTTTCACCATGAATCATGGTCCATGATAAAACCACAATACAAATGGTGCACTAAGTTTGACTCCCAACCCAAATGAATTTATCATTTTCTTCTCTGGGTTTCTTGTTGAGACTTGTGACAAAGGAATGTACAATGTTTTGTGTCTATTTCTGTGAGTGTGTTCGGAAAAGGTCTATTGGTAGAGACGCAATACAAATGGCTTTGATGTACTCTTTTATGTTATTTACAACTCTCATCTTCATAATTAAATTATCCAAACCGGTAAGAAGTCAAGCATTCAGTACTTCAGAAGCGTGGGAAATAGAGACGGAGAGCGAGAAAGAGAGAATGGATACACAAAAAATGGGAGTTGCAATTGGCTTACCTCTTGTTGAAGAATATAACTGATTTCGGTAACAGTATTTTTCCGCTCTCGTTCCATCCTTAGATTATTTACTTGCGTTTATACTGGATTTTCGTCTCTTCTTTGTGTTAAAATAAAGCCTAAAAAACCCACTTAAACTGGGTTTGGAAAAATGAAGGAAAAACCACTTGATGTTTAACTTGATACTTTCGTTTTAGTAAATAACTGAACTTAATGGAATCGAACGCATTTTTGTGTCATTTCATCTCAATTCATGGCCAAATAGTGACATTACATTTACAATCTGTTCACATATGCCATTCGATTTGGCACAGTGCCCATCATTTATCGAATCGAGTTTTTGGCTGGAAATTCACCTTTTTTATTTTCTGGAATATAAATGTATTTTCAAATGCGTGATGTGTTTGATTCCCGAGGAAAAAGTGAGTCGAAATCAACGTTTACATATGAATAAGAAATTCGATCGAATGATGGACCATGTTATTAATTCATTAAATACTATATCACGCTGTGGTACACAACTATTAATTATTATTTTTCAGCAGCTGCTAATGTTCACCCCCCGCAAAAATGTGCTGACACTTTCTCTCTTCACACTCTCATACACTCGCACATACACTCAATGCCTCTCACGCAATTGATACTGAAAATCTCGTTTTTTTCCTCTCAATTCAAAAAACACGAATACCGAAATTTGATTGAAACAGCCAAACAATCGGGAGAAGGAAAAAAAACGAACGAACGAACAAACACGACTTTCAGTCTTCTCAACAAAAAAACGTATCTCTCTCAACACACAATTGCGGTGAAAAGGTTTTTCTTCTTTTTTGGCGCTTCGTTCAATATTGTGTATGCTATCGCATTCGCTGCTATTCCTCAACTGCTTGGCTATTCATTGCCAATTGTTGAATAAACTCCCTTGCTCATTTCACATCGAATACAACACATGGTCATCACATCTCTCGTGGAAGCGCCAACGAACAACGAAAAACGGAAAATGTTTCCCACTTTACACACGTAAAGCAAATAGATGTGGAGAGAGAGAGAGAGAGAGAGAGAGAGAGAGAGAGAACGTCTACATCTATATCTGCGTATATATTTATATAATATAAAATATTTATTTGATTGTTGTGTATGGAGATGCGTACAGAGCATCCAGCATCAGCAGCAAGAGAAAAGAAGGAGATGCTAAGCAGATGATGGGAAATGGGTATGGTTGAGAATGTGCGGAGCGTGGTTACGATTCAAGAGGCATTTCATCGACAATTCCACACATTATCCGTGTTCGATGGGATTTCCATTTGCAAGTAAGCAGAGCACATGCATAAGAAAAAAGTTTCATTGATGAGAGAAATGATGTATGTGTTACAATGTCTCTCAACTCTTTATTCCCATAATAATACGATTCAGGATATGGGCGCACATGAACAATCTTGATGCCGTGATAAAAAAAAATAGCAACAACAACAACAACCTAAGGAGGGATTCTGTCCCGAATTGGCAGTTTTCCATATTCAATCAAAAAGAGATTGTTCATTCGTAGCGCTTTCCTGATTTACCGTCATATTATTCTCACATTCAATATCAAATTATATTCTGTTTTCATTAAGCATTTAAATGAGAACTGCAGCTTCATCATGATGCCTGTCAACGGCGAAGAAAATGAAGAGAAAAACAGCAGCAACAACAACAACAACAATCGACTCAATCATGTAAAACTTACCGACGAGATGAGAATCATTTGAAAATTCAAATGAAATTGCCATTCCATCTCGAACAACGTCGTGCCAATCGCTTTCGGTATTGTTGTGTGTACTACGTAAACAGTTAAAAGCAATGCTCCGCTTGCGAAAGCGATGGTAAAATGCAGAACAGACGCACAAGGTCAACTTGCTTTGATGCTAGTACATATATATATATTCAATGTCCATGTGTCAAGCATTAACACAAATACGTGTGCAATTGCGTGGTGTGTTGTATATAAACAAACATCGTATGAATTATATGAGCTCGCAGACAAGGACTGAACGAAATGCAACGAAAGCCCCATCAACGCTGGTAGTATTTCTCTAAATCCTTCATCATCATCGGTGGCAGCAGCAGCAACACATGTAATTGATTCGACACAAAAATCCAGTCGACTGAATGATTTGACTGTTTGATATATTCATTTGTTACACATTTGAACACATCAAACCAGCGACAGCATTGTACGTCAGCAACATTTCAAATACAGCGAGTGAACGAGTGAGCGAGTGAGCAGCAGTCAATGACAGATAGCTGAGGATATATGCTGAGCATAGAAACTCAGTAAGCTGAGATTGGGACATTTTGACTTTATGACGTGTAGTCCAAACAAATTTATCATGGTGAGCAGCACACAAAATATGAACAACGATTGAAATTTTGAAGGAGATAACCCGATACTAATCAAAATGTAATGCTCGCATTCTCTTATCTCCTCATTTCTCTCTTCTTTTTATTTCATTTTATCGAGTCATACACTGTATTACTTAACGCAAAACGTTTTATGTATTTTCATCTTGTGTTCCTTCAATGAAATTTGTCATGCGCATGAGTGTCACTTTCGTTCATGAATTTTCATTTCTCTCACACTGGCTGATAATCGGAACGTGAGTTCCAATTTGATATTATTTATGTATATATACCACGGGCTTTTTTCTCTCTGTCTCTCTCTCTCTCTCTGGTGATGGTGGTATGTAGCTTGAATACTTCTTCTGCATACATAGCATGGTATGATCGTGTAGGAAAAATTGTATTGCTATCAAATTTCCGTCTCAAAATATATAAATTATTTTCAAATTATTTACCGAGCACTGAAATGTGTATTGCGAACGACAACCGTATTTTGTTCTACCCATACTGATGCTGCTTCGTGATAAGAGCAATTGTCTCATAAATCACTTCGCTGCCATCATACCATGATAGCATCTTGACAAAATATGTTGGCCACCAGCGGATTACGGAGAGTTTACTACATCACACAGTTAATTGCTTCCGTTTGCTCTCTGATGAATAATGTGTGTAGCATTTCGATGAATTTTTGGCACTTCTTTATGCGGATTTTGCATCAATCGAAACCGAAATGAAGCGAAAACAAACATCGAGCTACAAAACTAATAAAATATTTTATGAATATTTTAATCATCAAACATTTTAAATGGGTTAACATCTGATGATAACCCCATCGAAACATAGAGAGAGAGAGAAATTGAGTGATGCGCCATTTTCTAGGACACAACGTTTTAAATTGTGAATTGAGAGAATTCCATGTATAGTAGACATGTCTATTGTAATTTGAACAATGAATAGAAGACGTTCGTGATGCGATTATAATTGTATGGCATAATGACATAAGCCTCCAAATCAGTTTCGGTCTTGTAAATAGATCCTTGTTGCGTTTGAGAATGAAACACACAATCCCAATTTTTTTTCCATCAAATCGTTTTATCGATAAAATGGTGTATATGTGGAGACGAACTGGAACTAAGGGGGGGAGGGGGACCTGGTATTGGTTTAACACACTGATGGCGACGACTTTTTTCATATTCAACGCAAACAATCTGGACTAATGGATTGTAAAAGAAACATCGTGTCTCCTCTCATTCTCTCGGGTCGGTGATTTATGATGGTGCATGATACAATTTATCCATTCAACAAAATTACTGTATCTAAGACTAACTCCGTATCAAACGCATGTAGACGCGTATATTGTGAACATTTTTACGATACTCATTTACCGGCACGAATTTTTAGTGCTTTCGTTTTATTTTTAGAATCCCATTGATAATGTTCTCGGTTTTTCTTAATATTCGTCCCGTTGACGGACGATGTAGAGTTGTAGACAGTCCCATTAAACCAACAAAACCATAACAAGATATGCGACATAAAATCATTTTTCATCAATGCCGTGAAATGGTTGAATTCCTGCGGAGAGAATGTGATGAGAGAGAACGAATTTGAAAATTAATTTTTACCAGTCACGCTAAGTCAGTTCAATTCTCGTGTTTAGACACAAGATGAAGAAACATATTTTTGAATTGGGACTTCCCATTTGAGTGTGAATCCACGGCATTCGATTCAATGATAAGGCCACGTTGAGTGGTTTTACCGAATAGTAAGGGAAAGAAAATGAGAATAAACTACGGATTGAGTGAACACGAGTAGGGCGAGTAATGTTCATAATTTTTCCAAGTTTGTGATTATCAACGCAAACATACATCGGTCGGAAAGTGCAATCAAATCTCACTCATTTTGTTCAGTTGGCTAAAGGCAAGCGAGTGTAATTCCAGAGCATTGGCACCATCGAGCCGAAGAGTGATGTTGTACATTTTGCGTTAACTCAAAATGAATTGAACTCGGTGTGTTCGTGTGTATGGTTCGTCTGTGTCGAATTGTGTGTGCGCGCCACTCGTCTTGTGCTCACGCCGATTTCTCGCATTGCATGCGAACCAACGACGACGGAGCTGTGTTGAGTGTGTTTTTGTTCGGAATTAAAATCGTCTGTATCATTTGACCTCCTTCCATTCCCGTTGTAGCTGTGTACTCTCAACACGTGCGTATTTGAGTGAAAATTGTACGCTATGTGTGCTAGTTGACATTCAGTCGTTCTGGTGATAAAACGTGTTTACAAATCAAAACACACAGCTACTAGAAAAAAAAATTCTGTTATTGTTGCTTCTTTTTTTTTACCTCAATATGACATACGCGTGCGCATACTCGGAGTTTTTTCGGGAACACAGATAAAAAAAAATAATAAAAGAAAAGAAGAAGAAGAAAAGAAGAACACACAGCAAAAATATGCATAACATACCGAAACACAATTTAATTTCAAGTGTATGAATTTATTTCAATTTTTTTTCTGTTATTGCTTTTTCGTTCGTTAACATAGTGTGTGCGCGCGCTCTATTTTGGATTTGACTTTTTGTGTTACATTTCTGCATTAAGTGTATCATTCTTTCGTTTCGCTCCACCATTCTTAATTACAGCAGAAGATTCTTTTTTTTTTATCTGTTACAATTCTTGTTTTGGGAAAAATCACAGAAGAAGAACAAAAATAATAACAAGCAAAAGAGAAGTTGAAATTTACGAGCCGTCAGTCAGTCGGAATTCACAAATGAAACTTGCAAGGCAATAAATGTGTGTTGTGTGTTCATCGTTCTAAAATTAATCAGATCATTTGCTGTCAACACAACACAACTCAGTCTGTCAATTAAATGTGTTATCCTGAATGAAAATCAAATCTATTCACACGGATTTTGTGTTTTTTTTTCTCTCTTCGAAAATCGTATTTTGTAAGTGATTTTTAAAATCATCGTAATGTAAACAGGAGTAGACATATCGAGACGAATAAAAATTTATAGCACACCAACAACAACACATAAATGTTTAATGTACACATACAAATTTTAAATTCATCTTGGCAGTCGTTGTTTCTGTTGCCTGTTTCATCGGTCGGTCAAACTTTCGAACTCGTTCATCAAAGTTCTAATTCTGACACACAAAGTGAAACGCTGTGAAAGTGACTCGCATGAATCCATAGAACGATTTTACAAATCAAAAGGCCAATTCAGTGTAAACGGAAATGTTCTATGCTGCACACAGCACGGCACACATAGAGTACGTGGTCATATCAAAAATCGAATCGGATCACTTGCAAAATAGAGCACATTGCACAGGATAGCACAACGGAAAAGTGGATTGGGCCGAAAGGAAAATCGATAACCGGAGAAAACCCCGTATCTAATTTTGAGTATTTGTAGAGAAAAAAAAAGTAGAAACGCCAGCGCGAGGAAAGACACAAACGGCGGTGAGAGGCGAAAAAAAACAGACAGGATTGTTGGTAATTTGTTGGCTGTTGAAAAATTGTGCGTGCTTGTAAACAATTAACGATGCGATAGCAGAAAGTTGCACTTGTTGTTGCTGGTTGGTTGGCGTGTGTGTGTGTATGGTGCGCTGAGCTGCACTCGAAAAGTGCATGATATCCATATTTGTTGTCAATTTATGTGCAGCATATACAACACTAAATGTGTACGACTCTGAAAACACAACACAACACAGAAAAAAAGTTCCCATACGTGTTCCATAGTGTAAATCAGTTAAAACAGTTTGTGTATTTGACTCTCTGACAAAACAGTCTTCGTGGAGTGTGTTTTCCGTTTATTTGCTGTGAAATCAAAAAGAACGAAGGAAAAAAACAGCGCAAATCGTACGTGTCAAAATGAACTTCGAACAGCAAAGAAACAACCAGAAAAGGTAAGCTCTTTTTTTGCCCCGCTCTCTCTCCACTTGTATCAAATTATAATTTCATCAAATTACAAACTGGCATATACGTACACAAAATTAAAACGGTTTAATATATATCAAATGAAAAAACTATAATTACAACATTATATGCAAATAAAATTAGTTTTCCTGCTCTCTGCTCTCTGACGAATGATAGTGAGATGCTGCGGCCGCAACTGCTACTCTGGTGCAGCCGCATTGGCTCGACAGTGGCAGTGCACAGTGCAATCGACTCGATATATATATTTACTATCTATTTTAATTATGCTCATGCTCATGTTCAGTTGCTCGAGCACTCGAATGTTGATGGAAATTTGTGTGTATGTGGAAAAAAACTGTTTTCTTTGTTGTTGAGTATCTTCACGATGATGTTGATGAAGTCAGAAATGAAGCAGCAAGAAAAAAACACACACACACACGATGTCTGCACAAAGCCCCGTTTATTTACTCCATGTTAACATATTAATTTTTTGTAATTTCATTATTTCTACTGCAAAATAGAAACGGGTTTTCCACCTAGCTCTTCAATATCAAAATTGTGTGTATGGCAAAGGCAAATAAAAAAAACACGAAATTCGTCTCTGCCGTCGTCATTTCTCTATCGTACAATATACGAATGATGTTCAAATGCATTTAATGTGCACCTGCCGCATGAAAATTATTTGTGTGTGCATAGATGTCGGAAGGTTATCGGAAAAGCGAACACATAAATTAGTCGGCATACACAAATATATATTTAGAGGCTTGTAGTCTTCCTCTTTCAAGCATCAACATTCACTTATCATGAAGATTGCAACCGAAATTATCTTTCTTGCATCCAAATGGAAGATGAGCAGACACTAAAAAAAATGGTTCAACAGCATTTGAACAAGATATGAAATTGCTTCGTTGAGATTGTGTATGCCGAATGCTCACTCGTTGAAACTAAAACAAAAAAAAAAGAAACCAAAGTGTCATCTCCTCGGTGAAAGATTGTGCACAGCACACATTGCGCACAATAGCAACGGGTCGACTGTAGTATGGACGCACAATGGGCGCCCGCACAAGCGATCACAATCAACAAATGATCTTGAAACGATGTGAAAAAAAAGAATTCTTTCGAATGAGAGTGGAATGTGGCACATTTGCTTTCGCCACTCTGCTGCGGTCACTCTGATTTCCTCAATGAGCGACGACGATTTATTGGCTTCAATGCCTATTGATTTCTTTTTTTTAATTTTTTGTTTTTTTTATTTTTCATTTCGTTCAATTGTTCACATCGATTTGTAAACCAAATGAATCCACGCCCAAGCCACATTACACTATTATACTATACGGGGAATTTTTCTTTTCTTTTTTGAACAAAAAAACGCAAATAAAATGTTTTCACGTACATACATGTTCAATTGTTTGCCTATTGATTTGGGTCACACAATGACAAAAAAAAACATTTCTGCATAGTTGATTAGGCTAGTGAGCAGATCAAAATCGACACATTGTAAACTGCGCACCAAAAAGCGGAATCAATTCCATGCCTAGCCATTAAATTCGTTCTTGTCAACGACTTTCTAAATACAAAGACACGCACCAAAAATATGTGTGATATACTCATAAATGCCCATAATGTGTTAATAACGCTTTAATTAACCTTTCAATTTAACCAGAGGTTAGATGTCTCGGTGCTCCCGTTTATGAAGCGAGAAAACGCCTTCCGAAACTCTTCGATACACACGAAATGTGTAGTTTTGTTCATTATCTGTCGTTTTGTTTTTTTTTAGTCAACCGTTATGACTATGTCAATGCAGCCACAAAACAAAAAAAAGTGGCATAAAACGCACGGAGAAAGAGATTGAAGAAAATTTCATATTTTATGTGCGGTAGCTCGTAAAAATATAAATGATATTCCATATTCAGATGCCGGCAATAAACGTTTGGGCTGGTCAAAAGAAGATTATCATATGAAAATGTGAAACGAAATACATGCTAATATGGGTCCGCTTATCAAATGTGTCACTGTGTTTGATCGAAATGAACGTGACACTAACTGGTGAGCGCGCGATTGATTATTTGTGCGCGACTGAACTGTGTGAGTTATGTGGTCAATAATGAAACTATGTCGACGTGTAATCTTAAATGACTCAGAACGTTTCTGATTTAAAATTCAATGTACTTTGATTGGGCTGGGTATTCTTTTGATATGTCCGTTCTATTGTTGTTGTTGTTGTTTGTTTGTTTCGTTTTGGATTTTGACATCGCAAAACTGATTGCAAAGTGTCGAGGTGTGATCAATGCAATTTCTTTGCAACTTGATAAACAATTGCAGCCACGACAGCGCGTTGAAATGTAAGCCGTGCACTTTGTCGATTTGCATTTTTCATATTTTTCTTCTATCTTTCAATGGAGTTGGCTTTCGTGGAGTGTGACTTCAGACCGACTAATTTTCATATAGATGCATTTGCAACACACCTTTTTGGCAGCTAGACTCTAGCATTATTGCACTATATATGGTTTCATCATTTACATGATGCCATTTTTTTCTGCTTGCTCATTCGTTCGTTTCGACTTGAAAGAAAACAAACTCGAAGAAAAACAAAAACCAAATTACATTTGTTGCATGCCATCATAATGAGATGTGAATTTAGAAACAATGCACACAGCCACATACAGAACTAGGTAAAATCGGTGATAGATAGTAGATAGATACATATATTTACATGAACGTCATAAAAGTCACACTCATCTTCATTGAATAATGTGAACTGAAGAGAAAGAAAGAAGCAGAAGAAAAAAAACAATAACCACACTCAACATTCGCTTGCCGATTGAATGAGTATTCTTTAAATTACGATTTCTTCTTGTTTCGCTCGAGTTATGCATTCTAATGTGAATGCGAAATTTCTTATGAAATCCTCATACTGGAAAAAAAAATAATATGAAAAATCAGCAACAAAAATATTTTTTGATGTATGAATACAAGAAAAAGAAATGGTATGGAACCGTGATAGAACCGACGAAAACAAGTGAACGACGATTATGGTAAAAAAGAAAACGATTAACGCGATCGTTACAGTAGTTTGAAGAAATTAATTTATGAGAGAAAAAAAGACGAAGCGTATTGCACCTGTCGTTAATATAGTTCTTTGCTGCAATTAAATCGGCGGCATTAGTGTGTATGCAGGCAATTCCATTTTAATTCAATTGGAACGGTAATGGAAAAGGAGCTCGCATGTCAGTGGCAGTTTCATCATTTTACATGAAAAACAAAACAAACGCAATGCGTACCCGATGATCCCTAGGGAGGCCTATAGAGAGTAAATATTAAACACGACCGAAATGAAACGAGAATGTGCCCAATAAACCACAACGATAATAATGGACGTCAACCGATTAGTTTTATTATGCGTCGTTTTTTCTTCGTCGTCTTTTCATTAGATTATATCTGAAAGTGATCCGAGTTCGCTGTCGGATAGGTGTTATTGTTGAGAGGTGAATTACGTGTGAATGACAATACGACGACATTTCGGCATTCGTTCAAACAAAACAATATCGAAATACTTCCGAATTATTTGGGCGGCTTCGTATAATAAACAAAGACCACCGATTCTGAATGAATCAAATAAGATAAAAGTGCTAAGCCGCAAGTGAGAGCATTCGATGGCCGAAATAAAAGAAAAAAGAAATAAAATTTAAATGAAAAAAGCATCGACAATGTGCGAATGACCTGAATTGAGCGAAATCCTACGGTCAGATTAAAAAGATGTACATATATTTATATATTCCGAATATGATTAAAATAAAGACGATGACTGATGGCCGTCATTTCTCATTTCGCATGGAATTGTTGTGTGATGAATATATATATTTTGTTTAATACTCTGTCTTGCTAGTTGATCCGATGCTCTTTATTTTTTGCAACTTTTTCTTATTCTTCTTCTTCTTCTCCATTTCTTCGTTCACAAATTCACTGTGACTACAACTACAGCGTCTTCGTTGTTGGTGTGTATATCAATTTTTTTTAACATATTTCGTATATCTGTGTTAGGAACACAGATCACTTACATGTAACATGTTTTGTATGTGTGTGTGCTTTTTTTGCTGATCGGATTAATGTATTTTTTTCTTTCAATTTAATCAAAATCTATTGTTTCTGGATTTTTCGTCACTTGAATTTCTCTAAGTATTCGCATCTTGATTGATACACCTTTCTTTGGCTTCGCTTGTACCCGACAATTCCCATCGATCTTCCAACCGAACTGAACCGAACCGAGCCAAACAATACGCGAATGGGGGTACATACAGACGATGATATGGGTATACACGAACAATTATGTAAATGAAAATGAATTCTTTTTGTATCGCGTCTTCTTTCCCTTTTCATATTCAATAGAAAAAATATTTGCCTGCTTTAATTTTCATTCCGTATTCATTAAAATGATAGAGCGAGCAGTATATATTTAATGACTGTGCTCATACTATACACATATTGATGTGAGTCAGTTAATGAAATTTCGAATATATATCTGAAACAGACATAGAAATGAAAAGCAATGAGAGGGAAGAGAAAAAAATTACGACAAACTCATTGGATGTAGTTAGTTTGCGAGCAGAAACAATTCATCGAGAGGCAGAAGTCGCGGTTGAGCACGCCAACAGATACAGAATAGAAACAGCCAACAATAATGTTATTAATTTTCATTCTCTGTAAAAGGAAAACGAGAAAGAAAAAATAAAAGTTTTTCTTTCTTTCTTTTGCTGCATTTAATTTCACTGGTACATTGATTTCAATGCTTTTGTTTTGTGCAACTTTCAGATTTTGAGCAGTGCGATTTCGGAGGCAGTGACAAACATGTGGAAGGGTGGTGACTGAAATACAAACCGAAGAATCGAAACGAGTCGGAGAGAAGAAATCAGCTGTACAATTTACAGCGAAACATCAGAGAGACGAACTGTCAATTTCACCATGTATCAGGAGATTCATCATACTCTAAAACTAGCGGACTCAAATCAATACGAACAAAAATCCACCGCAAAAATTTGTACATGCAACAAATGCCACAATAATACCTATGATATATGCTTTTATGTACCCTTTTGTACGATATTCGTATGCTTAGGCGTCGTTCAAATCATCTCGGGCATTTTCTATTTTATAACGATTCCTGTCATTAAACTCATTTTTAATGTTGCTATCGGCTGCTGGGTATGGTGTTCATTTCTGATGACAACACATGCACATCGGCTAAAATTCTCTGTTTGTTCTTTCTGTTTGCAGGCCATCCTGTGTGGGATCAGCGGTAGCATGGTGGCATGCGTGTGCCCATCGACACCGCGGAAACATGAATTCCTACTCTATTGCTCGCTCTCCATACTCATTTTAAACATTATCAATTTGATTTTATTAGAAATCGGACAAGTTCGTGAAATTTTTAATGAGCATTTACAAAAAGCACTCAGCAAGGAGTACGACTTGTTGGAATCAGAGAATGGTGTGTATATCATTTGGCAATTGTCATTTTTCTTCTCATTTCATTGATTGACCAGTATGTTTCGCATTATTATAACAACAGGTCGATTCATTACAACTTATTCGGCTATACTACTGATAATCGTCGCTTTTGTCGAAGCCCAAATAAACTTTTGTTTCTTGAGCCGCAGCCAAATGAAGCATAAGAAAGAGAAGCACTCACGAAAGTCTCGCCGACCACAACAATATATTGATAATGATCAGACTGCCGATTTGGAATACGTTATTCCAAAAGTAAGTTCCGAATAGACCCGGAACCTCAATCCGGGCACTGTGTGCCAATTAATTATTGCTTAATTTTTTTCTTTTTTAATTATATAAACCTAACCATTAACCCAATGACTTGACGATATTATTACAAAATATTTAATGCTTGATAAAATCACGTTGCTACTTGCAGAAAGTCGAGACGAATGGTAGTAGGAAACCCTCAATGTCGATGGATACAACTGTGCAGGTGTACGCCAAATCATGGGTATTCGAAGGCACCGGCGAAGAAGCATATCATCAACCAGGTGATTCATCTTCCGTATCAATTTGCTCATCAAATTCGCCAACGCGTGCGGGTGGTGGTGGTTCGACTAGTAAAAGCCAAAAGGGCCATTCAAGCAAGCTATCGGATGCGACTAGCGATCGTTTCAATACGCAAATGAGTAGTTTTTCGCGATGTGCAACACCATCGCCAATACCGAATAGTGGGCAAGCGACACCAACTAACGTCATTTACGCCGATTATTTAAGCCCAAGTCATAATTCTCGAGTACATAAAACAAATCGCTTGACAGTCGATTACATTGCATCGGTTGATCCGGCTATTGGAACGGTTGTCACACCGACACTAGTTGCGACTAGTTCAACCGTAGCCCCGAAATATACCACCAAAACACAAATCCAAAGCAGCAACGGGCCATCAAGCATTTCCAGTCAACAGGATGACAGTCAATATGCATCGATGCTCGCCGAGCTGGAGCAATCGTTAATCGAGAAAAAGATTCAAGCAACAAATATGTCACCGGATGACACCAGCCTTACTGCTTCCACCGATAAATTTGGTTCATCAAAATCATCGTCGAAAGATTTGGAGTTTTCCAAGGAATTAGAAGCGGCACTTCAGTTGATCCAAGACCTTGAAACACCATCTGAGGGACCAGCCGATGGGACACAATCGCAATCGGCGCAAGCTGCTGCTAAAGTGGCCCGATCGGAGAGTGAAAAAACACTGAGTGCTGCTATATCATTGCCATCACCCGAACAAGGACCGTACAAACTGCAAACGCCCGACGCTCAAACACCACAAAACGGTAAGCATGACGAATACCGGCGAACGAATGCTATTCACATCGAACCAAGCTCGCAAAGTACATCAACATCGGGCTACAGTTCCCCGAATTCATTCTCATCCAATGTACGATTGTCGCACGCGAGCAGTGGCATTAGCAATAGTACGATTCATGACAGCGTCTACAGCAGCGATCAGTCGAATGTGGTTCGCATATACATCGAACAGAACAGTCCATGCACCACACCAACACCCAATCCGACAGCAGCGATGGCTGCCGCGAAAATTCACTCAAACTCAAAACGAAACCACGCCAAGGACCATGTACTGAACGATTCCAAGGGAATTAAAATGATTGGCAAAGAGAAGCAATCAAATGATTCACTAAATAAATCGTATCTTTTATTTAAGAAGCGCACCAAACTGATGCCACATTCCGATTTTCAAAATCGTATATTTAAATCTGAATGCTTGGCCTATTTAACCGACGAAGAGCTAGTTGCACGGCACAAGTGCAATCGAGACGTAATTCGGGTAAGATTTCTACGCAAGATTTCAAGCACACAATGTACTACTTTCGGCTTCGATTTTGTTTGCGAACCACTTAACATTTCTATACTAAATCAACTTCTCTCCATTTTGTCCCGTATTTGTCTACCTATCTATTGTATTTTGGGTGATGGTATAGTGCCAAGGATTCGACATTTCGACACGAGTTTAATTGCTAAAACAAACTAATTTTACTAACACTTTTGTGAACACTCGATTTTTTTAAAAATTAATCACACAGGGGATGGAATGGCAATACTAACAAACAACATTTTGTACCAATTTTTTTCTACAATTTTTTCTACTAATTTTTTAAACGAAATTTTTTCAAACGTATTTTGCATTTTTTTTCTCTTTTTCTGTCTCTGTCTCGCTCTCATTTTTTACAGAAAATTGAACAAAGCGTTGCACAAAAGATCCGAGGGAGCCCCCGATATAGCGAATATCATACTTAAATGCAGACAAAGTCACACATCATTATCATTGCATAACGACACAAACACACACACACACTACGACTTTTAATTCCGTTAGATAAATGTATTCGTAATCAATTGATGTTTAACCACATTTGCAAAGAAAATACACGTTCAAATTATTTAATTTGAACATGAAAAAAAAACAATTGCAATGCGGAAAAAAGAACAATTATTTGCTTAAGTAGTCAATTTTGCCAATTTCAAAGATTGAAAATGTATGAAATTAAACAGAAAAAATACGCGAGAGATGAATTATTTTCGTTGAATTTTGTTTTTTTTTCGAATCTAACACTATATTAGAACTAGTGTTGGCCGTCGAACACTTTCGAACACTTGTTCGACCGTTCGACAACATAAAAAAAAATTGTTTTGTTCGTTCGTTCGTTCGAAAGTTTTGTAAAAACTTATTTTGTTCGTTCGTTCGTTCGAAAAGTTGAAAATTATTTTTTTTGCTCGTTCGTTCGTTCGAAATTTATTTTAAAAAAATGTTGTTCGTTCGTTCGTTCGGAAATTGCTATGTTCGACCGTTGGGATTTTTTAAATTTGAAATACATAGGAAGCAAATATTTCTTTGGCTAAGACTGAAGGTACAACGTTATTACCGGTGTTATTACTCAGTAATACCACTGGTAATAATTAGTATCGATCTTATTACCGATTAATAAGTAATTACCGTTAAGTACTTAATTAAACTTTCTACTTAAGCTTGAGTATGTACTTTAAGTACGTTAAGTACTTTAAGTACGTTAAGTACGTTAAGCACGTTGAGTACGTTAAGTACGTTAAGTACGTTGAGTACGTTAAGTACGTTAAGTACGTTAAGTACGTTAAGTACGTTAAGTACGTTAAGTACGTTAAGTACGTTAAGTACGTTAAGTACGTTAAGTACGTTAAGCACGTTAAGTACGTTAAGTACGTTGAGTACGTTAAGTACGTTAAGTACGTTAAGTACGTTAAGTACGTTAAG